CATGATTGGAACATATAAACACATACCTGGAGGTGGATGAGGGAAACTAAGAGATGAATTTGTAATAGCACTGTCAAATATATGAGCATCATGTGTAGATTCCTCCCATCCTGCCAAGACAAAAGTGAAACACATATCCTAATCACATACAACCATGACATTTTGTGATGGATTTCCCTTTTTGCCAATATATTTGTCTCATTTTACAGTTGGGACAACACACTGTATATGGTGCCATCAGTTGCTCTGATTGCGTCCTTAAAAAATAGATAGTAACGTGGATCGTTCTCAATTTTCCTATGAGTTCCACAAAATGTAGGATTTATGGGTCAAATAAGTTCACTCAATAGGCTAAGGCAAGCTTGCAGTACATTGTGAAAGTGCTTACTTATAGTTTCCCCTAAACGTTGAAATTGTTCCTGGATAATCCTATTGCATTGTCCATGTGCAACCGTGTTTAAAAACATCAAGACCATTTCTGCAATTGTACGTACTTAGACTTTTGTAAACCATGCTCCTCCAATTTAGTACATAAGAGGTGGAAAATATCTTTATCCATTCTAAACATTTCATGACATCGATCATCATGCCTATTCATAATTCCTTGTACCCATGAATTTCCTGTCTGCTCACTAGTTTTGCACGGTTGTTTAAACATATGCATTTCACAATAATGACCAACCAATACACCTACTGCTTCTTACTGTGTTAATTCCTCATTAATCATGGATAATTGTGTTGAATGGTCACCTTCATTCGACCGTGAATTGTTATTCCAATTCCACAAAGTATTTTCATTCTATGGTGAATCATCGTTCCAAATAGCCATTTCCGGAATAAACCCTGTAATTGTTGTGACAACAAAGTGTAAGCATTATAAGGACTACACTAAACAAAGTGTAAATAATTTTCATACTGCAAACAAAAAAACCAAACGCATAGATGACAAGTAAAAATTAGCGTAAATATATTACATAATTATTAATAAAGTTTCTACAACATGCCACATCAGTTTAGGTTAAAATAGCAAGTAGTTCAAGTTAACAAGTACAATAGCAATAGTGAAACAACTAAGTCCTAAACTAAATCCTAATCTACAGGTCCCTTCCATGTGTCTGGGTCTTGTGCTGCCGGTATCAACTACGCCAACAACTTGCTTCTATCATGCATAAACCCCAAATAGGCTTGCCTAGCCCACCTTAACCGTGTAAGCATCTTAGCACATACATAATATAGTTGATTGTCACCATTAAGCTCCTCAACGATAGTCAGGTGTGCCAAAACCTTATCAACTAGTTGGGGATCTTCAACTAATGCTGCTGCTCGCTTGTCAGAAGCAGCTGATATGACACTCAGGCTATCAAAAATTTTGGTAGACGCAGCTACCTTTTTCCTTCTTTGCATCAGATGTCTCACCCCTCTTTCTCTTTCCATAGCCTCCTAAGCCACTTGGTCCAGTACTCACGGGGTTGTTTAAGTTGCAACCGGCGAAGTCATCTGTGACCCCTGCACTGGCTGTTGGGTCAACACCAAAATTGTCATCCTCACTGTCCTCCGAACCTTCCTGTTGGTCCAGCCCGACTTTATAAACATCTTCCTCCTTTTCTGTATTAGCTTGTGCAGCAGGTGCCAGCTAAGACTGTGAGGCTGATGGTGCGTACATAGAGTCTCCCAAAACCAACACATTTTTAAATATTCTCATCAAATCTGATGCAAATATCAACCCCTGATGTCTAAATTTCTTGAAATTGGGGTTCACTTACATTAAGATAATTAGGTGGAATCAAGTAATGTCTGAACTGATATTTGAAATTAAAACTCAATCAACACAAGTAGTTACTAGTAATTTTTAGTGCTACCACTCATCGGAGGCCAACATCCTATTTGTGGCTGCATCATAACCAATGCCAAACTTTCTAGACATCAGTTGTTCCCACAACTTCCAATCCCTTCTCAATATGTCAAATCTATTTTTCAGTTGTCTCTTGTCATAATTTTCCCCTCTCCTTTCCTTAAAATTCTTTTCAATTTTACTCCATCTAGGCCTTGTAAACAATGTTCCTTGTTGTTCCTTTTGCACTATTTGCTCGACGCAAATATTGATAAAATTTTTTATCATATGCGGATCCCATATCGCTTTTCCTTTATCATAATCTATTTTTCTATACAAAATAATATAACTATAAGACTTATTTAAGCAACCAAACAAGCAACCATTATTCAAAATAATTTCACACATCAAAACACAAATGATGTTCCAACTAATCAAGAGGAAATGTAATCTAAATATATAAATTCAATGAAAGCGCATTTAAATAACCAAAATATATATAGCAGTTATGGTTTTTTCCCCAACAAACCTTTCTATCCTAATGGATGATGGCCTGATAGAGGGGAAAAAAAAACAGGAGAATACACTCTTTCTATCTCTGCCTTCCTTACTCTAATATATAGTTCAATATTCTTCTTGCAGGTTTATTACTTCGGCTCTATCTAAATTTCTTTTCATTTCCTCTTGCATTCTTCGGACGGAATAATATTTTTATACGTGTTAGATGCATTCTTCATTTCCTGTCCATAATTAACTAGCTTCAGGTTTGCACCTCTGATGGATGATTCCAATTTTTTAATGACCAACAGTTGCTCAATCCTTCTTCTTAGTTTTTTTTCCTGTTAGATGCTAATACCAACAATTGCTCATATAATTTTTTCTTCCCTGTCAGATGCTCCTAATTATGGAAAATAATTTTTAACGTGTGTTTCCACCTCTCTAACCTGTGTTTTTTTTCCCAAAAAAACTATCTCATTTTGCACGAAACATGTGATGGAAGAAAAAAACAGGGGACACACGGCTGTTTATAGACCTTTTTATTACCGCAAGAGCAAAAATCCCAATGAGTTTAGTTTCTAAGAGCAAAATCCATACTTGAACAGATTACATGTAATAGGATTAACATCATCATGGTCGTTTCTTTAACTCTACAAAAGCTCGGATGAAGGAACCAGAGACCGTGAGTACTTAGCTTAACCAGACAAAACATAGCTCGGATGAATTTGCAACATTTACAGCAGCTCAACTCCACAACAATTCAATAGCTCGGCCATTACATGCAACCAGAGAAACGTAGATGAAAAGAGAAGAAGAAAAGAACAGAGATGCTGTAGGGTATGTATCGGATCCGACACTATGGAGCATGAGGAAGGTAGATCAGGCTCTGTTTTGTACTCTCCGGCCGAGATATACACAGGACAACTCACCCCCAAGCTCAGATGTCGGCCACCACAGCTATAGGAGGAGTCTTCAAATTTGACCTTTGAACACCTTTGGACGACCGATGAAGCACGCAGAGAAGCTTCACCCACCAGACCGAACACAACGCTCAACTCACGCCGACCAATGGACGAAGAATGGCAGAGTCACAACGGAGCTACGGCAACAGACTTGACTGCACAGCGCATCTTCTCTCTAGCGGCGAAGCTTTGACCTTTACGAGTGAGGAGAGGCAAATGAGGAAAGGCAGCAATAAAAAATGAGGAAGGAATAAAAAATGATCATCTGACGGGAAATTAATTTTCCTAACGGTCCAGTAGCACGGTGCAATTTTAAAAAGCTACTCCTTTGAGCTTATTAAAACGCACAATTGAAGGCACAATTTGGAGCTCAAATGGGATGGGCCAAAAGCTGTCCCAAACACTCTCTCTTAGCCAATCGGGCTTATCATCTACTCAAACCTCCTTTTGGCCCACAAAATGCCAATCCAAATAGGCTGAAAGACATATAAGAGCTTGTTTGGATCAACATTGCATAAGTGCTTATAAGTATTTTCAAGCAAGTCAAGACAAAACTCTTCTCACATATTTTCTTCGTATTTCGTAAATTACGTTTAAAAATTATTTATAAGCCATTTCAAATAAGTTCTAAAACTTCCTAGAATGTCCAGTCGTGCGTCCACAATGCAGGGAAATTGCAAAAATCTTCCTTTTAACATTATCATCTATGGAATAAGTTCTTGAACAATCTCCTCTTTAAACAGTTTTAGATTGACATTTTGACCCTGAATGTCATTAATCCTATCCATCCTTCAAAAGCTCATCATATGAAACTTCGTACTCTTCAACATCACAATGAACTTGTAATTCGGCTACACTTGTTCCGTTCCTTGAAAACATGTTGGTAAGAGTATCAAAAGAGGAGAAAGATTTTGAACGACCTCATCCAGCATTTTTTGCATGCCTATAAACAATAATAATGGTCACTACAGTATATTAGTACGAAATAAAAAAAAATCACAACATAAAGTCAAATAATAATAAAACCCGTCATATATTTATAATGTCTTATCTTAATGCACTCATGTTGCATCTCTACCTCTGTTGATCCCATGCAACACTCGGGTTATTGAAAATTTTAGAGAGAACCTAGGTTAGAGTACTAGTACAAAATTTGCAGAATATTGATATTTTGTAGTAGTATGTATAAAAGTTTATTAGGTCTTTTTTACCAATAAAATTTTAAATGAGAAATTTTCCTCAATTTTTTCCTACTTTGTATGTATTTAAAAGTTAAACAAAATTATGACTCTAAATGGAATCTAATTTTTCTATTTTTATTATTTATTATAAAATCATGTTATTATTTATTATATTTTAAAAAATGAAAATTTAAAATAACATGTGACTTAAAATTAATTAATAATTACCTCACACGATTATACGAAGCTTATTTTTCATATCAATAGATTATATTATATATTCAAAATAATCTTTTCCAAATAATTATTAATTTTTATCTAATGTTGCATTATATATATACTCTTTCTTATTCAGGTAGGCAATTAGAATAATTAATTTTATTTTTCGCCAACTAGAATAACTAATTGTTGTATTCATAGTTTTCAACCTTTCATGGAGTACTATTCAACACAAAGCAGACCGTTCCACAGGTATTTATAAAACCCTCGGTTTGGCGGCAGTTAAACCCTTAAACCCTAACACGCCTCAGCCGCTCGGCTGCGAAACAAGCACCTGCTTGTGGGATTCTTCCTCAATTTCATTCTGATATTTCGTCATAGCAGTTGAAGTGTTGTCAAGTTTTGAACTTTAAAGCTTCTTTCTGTGATTGATAAGTCGAGCTAAGGTGATTCTCGAGCTCACTCGACAAAAAAGTTGTGTGTGTAGTTTGGAGCTTTTTGGGGAAGGCTACGTGTGCACCTATTCTTGTTGGATTCCATCATTATTAGTATCTAGTGTTCATAAATTTTTGTGGCTGAGAGGTGATTCTGGGATTTGATACTTTCAAACATTTCTCACTAAAGAACTCGTATTTTTCTTTTCAGGCTTGTTTGTCAAGTAATAAAATGCTTGTGTTGTTTGAGACGCCGGCGGGTTTTGCCCTTTTCAAAGTGCTGGATGAAGGGAAGCTTTCAAAAGTTGAGGTATCAATACTGATTGTTATATGATTTTTAAGAGAATGCCATACATCTGGCATTAGATTGTAATTTTATTCTATTTGTATTATCCGTGTTTTGTAATTTGGCAAGCCTTAAAGGGTACACATGTGCTCTTTCTACCATTCTTTCTCCTCTTAGAGATCACTTGGAAGGCTGCAGGGGAAATAAGTGTTTCAAATGTCTAGGATAGAAGAAGCTTGTATTTTTAAAGTTCGAGTGTAGTGATGCCATATTCTGTTTTGGGTACTCATAAATCTGATACCATGCTTCATTTAACTGAAGCTTATGAGCTATGTATGGCACAACGTCTCTTCTCCCATTTAGCCTACTATTGAAGCTTCAGTCATGTTGTTCTTCGTCTTAATTTATTTCTCTATGCAGGACTTGTGGAAGGAATTTAACAGTGCAGAAACAGCTAGACAGGTTCTTGCATTCTCCATCTCTTGCTCTGTGCTGACTTTATCACTATTAAATTTGCTTGAATGTTCCAGTAGCATGTGCATAAGCTCACTGTGTTTGGCACCATATTAGGTTGTCAAATTGAAAGCATTTTCTAAGTTTGAGAATACTTCAGAAGCTTTGGAGGCTGCAACTTTGTTAATTGAAGGTAAAGCTAGCAAAGGACTACGAAAGTTCTTGCGTGCACATTGCGAAAATGAAACCTTAGCTGTGTCTGATTCAAAGCTTGGGAATGTGATAAAGGAAAAGCTGGTAGGAAATCAAGTTGCTTTTGGTTTTTGTGGGCGTTGAAACTCTTTGCAACTAATTTGAAATTTGAAATTGGCATATTTTTGACCTTGCAGAAAATTGAATGTATTCACAACAATGCTGTGATGGAGTTAATGAGAGGTGTGAGAAATCAGTTAAACGATCTCATAACTGGTCTGTCATTGCAAGATATGGCTCCAATGAGCCTGGGTTTATCTCATAGTCTGTCAAGATACAAGTTGAAGTTCAGCGCAGACAAGGTGTTGTTTCTTTAGACTTTTGACAATTGGCATAAGGAGTGGATGTTTATTTGTTAGCTCGTTTAATTTGTAATATCTTTTTCCTGCTAAGATTGTTGCTGATGCCTATTTTGCCATTGAGTACGCTGCTTGCCCTGCCCTATGCTCAATGGCTTGCAGCGTCACCAACTGCAGGATCTTATGTGATAGGTGTTAAGAAAATGCTTAAAATGTTTCTGGCCCTATAAATTCCTTTTGTATTTTTTTCCCTGGAAACAAGGAGTTGAGGCAAAAACCAAAAAGTCAACAAATCAAGTGCAATGCTGGTAGTTCACCTCATCTTTGCCCCTACTCAAGAACTCTAACGAAAACTCAGGTGGCTGCTCTCAAATGAGAAAAAAATAGAACAATATTGTGATGGTAGATCATGTACATACATAGCTATTGCATCGGCACACTGGGTCACATCCCTTTGTATTTTTGTTAACATGATGATTAATTATATCATTAAAAGTGTGATATCCAAATCATTGAAAGAAGAATGGTTTATTTCAGGAACATTCAGTAAATAGAGTTTCATTTTAGTATCCCTTGTGAAACTTAGTTGGAGGTTGCTGTTGCCTGAATGTTACTTGCTGTGTTACAGGTAGACACCATGATTGTCCAGGCCATTGGTCTGCTTGATGATTTGGATAAAGAGCTAAATACATATGCCATGAGAGTTCGAGAATGGTATGGTTGGCATTTCCCTGAGCTCACTAAAATAATACAGGATAACATCCAGTATGCAAAGGCTGTCAAACTGATGGGCGATCGTGCTAATGCTGCAAAACTTGATTTCTCTGAGGTAGGATTTCTGAGCTATTCTGAAAGCAACTTTTGTAATTTTGCTTTTGGTTTTAGCTTCTTGGCGTTATTTCCACCATCATATATATTTGAGTTGAAGGATGCAAAGTTATTCACTGGATTACATTGCGTAGACACCCTTTGTTGTAAATTTAATTAACACAAATATTCTGTTTATGTTTGCCTCAAGTAATTCAAAACAAGAGGCTAGGCTTGTGTAAGTTTCATGGATTCTAAAAACTTTCTGGCATTATGTGCCGCAGATCTTGTCAGAGGATGTTGAGGCACAACTGAAGGAGGCAGCCGTGATATCTATGGGAACTGAAGTTGGTGAGCTTGATTTGATGAATATCCGTGAACTGTGTGACCAGGTGTTGTCGCTCTCTGAGTACAGAGCCCAGCTATATGATTACCTAAAAAGCAGGATGAACACCATTGCACCCAATTTGACTGCTCTTGTTGGGGAGCTTGTAGGTGCTCGCCTTATTGCCCATGGGGGCAGCTTATTAAATCTTGCGAAGCAGCCTGGAAGTACTGTGCAGATTCTTGGTGCTGAAAAGGCTCTCTTTAGGGCCCTGAAGACCAAGCATGCTACTCCCAAGTATGGGCTCATTTACCATGCATCTTTGATTGGCCAGGCGGCTCCCAAGTTCAAGGGTAAAATATCTCGGTCACTTGCAGCAAAGGCTGCATTGGCCATCAGGTGTGATGCTTTAGGAGATGGCGAAGATAACTCCATGGGCTTGGAGAACAGAGCCAAGGTAGTTTCTCAAAATTGGATTGGTAGTTTCCATCTGTTCATATCTCTTCAAGACTCACCTGACATGCATATTCTAACAGCTTGAAGCACGGCTGAGGAATCTTGAAGGCAAAGAATTAGGTCGATTTGCTGGCTCTGCTAAAGGGAAGCCCAAGATTGAAGCATATGACAAGGATAGGAAGAAGGGAGCCGGAGCATTGCTGACACCAGCTAAGGTCTGATAACCTTATTCATTTGATATTTGTGTAATGTTCTGCTCTATTTTCATTAAATGCTGACTCTACTGTATTTTGCAGACATATAATCCTGCTGCCGACTCTACTCTTGGCCGAGCAGATGTGAACACTGAACAGGAGCCAATGAAAATTGAAGATGGAACCCCGGAGCCTTCTGTTAGTGAGAAGAAAGAAAAGAAAGAGAAGAAGAAAGGGAAGGAGAAGAATGAAGAGGATGCAGATGCAGTTCAGGATCATGATAATGGAGTTGAGGGAAAGGAAAAGAAGAAGAAAAGGAAGCAATCTGGTGAGAATGGTGAGTTGAATGGAGACAATGATGCGGATGTGGGAGAAAAGAAGAAAAAGAGGAAAAAGCATGCTGAGCAAGAAGAATCAGCTGAAATGCCCAAGAAAAAGAAAAACAAAAAGAAGAAAGTAGAGGATCAATAGGGATTGAATTTGTTGTTATCAGCTAATTCATCTTGCTGGTAACAATCAGTTTTGCATTTCTCAGGCTACTCGGTGCTAAAATTTTATATAAATATATATCATCATGTCTAATTGTTTGTTTTCTCTTCTAATGGGGTATGTTGTGTTCAGGAAATTTTGATGCTGTGATATTTGTGCATTAAACATGCTGCTAGTTCTAAACTTTTTTCAATTCTTGTTCATACTCACGGCGCATTCTTTTGCTAACATGTTGAGCATGTAACTTTTCATTCATCTTGATGCAATATGTTACTGAGGTGATCTGTCTTCTAATCTATGCCATGCGTGCTTCGGAATGTTCATGGAAAGTTGACTTTTTTGCCCAAGTTTACATATGTATGGTGGTTTATTTTTTGGGGACAGTTCACATAGAAGTTTACATGAACGTGTGTAAATGACTTGTATTAATACAAGCGGACAAATATACTCTATTGTTAAGAAATGATACTGCAACATGTGCACATATGTATGCGTATAATTATATTTATGTCGTGTGCGAGGGTCTGTATTTGTAGCTTTACTCGTTAGCGTTCGTCTACGTACCTCAAGAACACCCACGTAAATTTTACCTCAATGGAGACTTATTCATGAATAGCAATGTGATAGAAACAAGATTGGATTGGCTACTATGAACTAGCAAATCGGTGACCAATCCGTTTTGGTTGACTGCAAAACTGAGAATGTAATTCAATTGGTAAAAAATGGTCAACATGGTCTTGATAAATTCCGATGGTCCAAAAACCAAAGCTGAAAATGGAGGAAGAGGGGGTAGCTACATGTGAAAGAAGGTGATGCTTAGCGTTAAAAGCGCAAAGCGCGCGAGAAGATATGATAAGGGGAGAAAAAACAAGGGAAGAGGATGGGCCTAGAATGCCAAAAAGGAAGAAGAAAATGTACTTTGAATGTGGAAAGAAAAAAATTGGAAGACCACGGCGATGACAAGAAGCAGAGTTGGAGAAAGGAAAGAAGAAAAGGGTGAGATAGAATGAAAATTAAAAGATGAGTTCTGATATGATTTACAGCTTATTTCTGTTTTCTCTTCTTTTTGTTTCCATATCACCAAGTTCCCCCTCCTTCCCTTGACGGGGTTTTCCCTGATGCCAATTTGAGTCCCATTCCCCGTTGCTGGAAAGGAGTTTGCCAGACGTGGGCGAGTTCTACTGGTCCGTTGAACCCATCAACGGGACTGTTTTACGAAAACCAAAAAAAAAAAAAAAAACAGAAAAATGACATTTGAATTTCATAATGCCCAAAATGGTCTGCTAAATTTAAAAAATTTCAATTTGGTCATTGGGATTATCATGTTAAAATAAAAGACCAAATTACCCTTCATTTTATTTATTGTTTTTAAAATACCAAAACCTCCACTAACTGGCCAGTTGGTCGTCGGAGCTCCGGTGACTGGCTGACAAGACTAAGGGACGGTTACATTAATACAAACCCTACAAGTTGAACTTTCATTTCGGTCTTCACAAACTTGCGAGACTACTGGATCATGGCGAAGAGATGGAGTTATGACGTGTTTCTTAGCTTTTAAGGGGAACATACTCGCTTGAATTTTATCGGTCATCTCTACGAGTCTCTTCATCAAAGCGGGATTCGTGTCTTAGCGTTAAAAGCCTAAAGTGTAGAAGAAGAAAGATATAATAAGGAAAAAACATGGAAAAGGATGGGCCTAAAATACCAAAAAAGAAGAAGAAGAAAATGTACTTTGAGTGTGGAAGGAAGAAAATGAAAGTAACACGGCGTAGACAAGAAGCATAGAGTTGGTGGAGAAAGGAGAGAAGATGAAGGAGAGAGAGGATGGAAATTAAAAGATGACTTCATCACGGAACCTTTCTGATATTTGCATGCTTAGATAATTAATTTTCACACAAAATACTACTAATATGTAAATATTAAAAAAATTAGTTAAGTTATACTTTATAAAAAATATGTATTGATTTTTTTAAAATACTCATATAATTATTTGTATTGAAAAATACTTCTTATATTAATGAATAATCCTTAATATGTGTAAGGAGAATTTGGAGAAAAAATTATAAATTTAGAAAATAAAGTAAATGGAAATATTATATTTAAGATTAATAAAATATTTTATACTAATTTTTATATTTAAGATTGGAGGTAATATACAACTATTTATGTCCACGCAGTGTTCATGCCTATTTAAATTTTTTATGCTGAAATACAAATGTAATGAGAGGGAGGAAGTAAAAAGATGTTAGGAAACAAGTCCCACAAGCAAATAAGCAAATGAATTAGGGAGGACTGCAACGAAATCCCAAGCAAAAATCATGATTACCAAGTCTTAATGACAATAAAATAAGTTATTATGACAAATTTTATAAGAGTAAATGATAATTTATTATTAAAACTTAGTGATAATTATTTTTAAAAAAAATTCATCGTACAAATGAATCATTAATAGCCTGTAATCCACCTGTCACCTTTTGACCAGCTAGTGACAAAATGAAGCTACCAATTAATTAATAAAAAGAAAATTTGAAATAATTGTACTGATCCCCCCGGGGGGTGAGCAACGAAATAATTGTACTGATATTTGTTCTTTTCTGCTTTGTTTCCTAAAGGAAATGTCGTTTGGGTCACGCTTGACTTACCAGCACCGAAAGCACAAATCAAATAACTTGGTGTGTTTGCATCTCACCAAGCTCCCTCTCCTTCCCTTCATGGTGTTCTCCCTGATTTCAATTCGAGTCCCATTCCCCGTTGTTGGAAAAGAGGTTTGCCAGACAGGGCCGATTGAAGATCAACCATAAAGATCCCAACTTTTTATAGAATCAAACTATTATTCACTCATTCACTCCTGAACGTCCACTGGTGGCTGCCGGCTGAAGTCAAGTTGAAATTCTTTGTCGATTTTATCTGATGAGATGAATTTGCCTTTCCCCTTTTTGGTTCTGCTTTTGACCATTAAGCACTCGTCTTTATATTATTTTCAGAGCGCCGCCAAATGAAAAGGAAACCTGACGATCCTTCAGGGAAGCCCGCTGTTGGCAACTTACATTAATATAAACCTACGAGTTCACAGGTCTGTGAGATTACTGTATCATGGCGCAAGGAGCAGGATCTTCTTCCGTCACCCGCAGATGGAGTTATGATGTGTTTTTAAGCTTTCGGGGGGAAGATACTCGCCTGACTTTCGTCGGTCATCTCTATGAGTCTCTTCGTCAAAGAGGGATTCGGACCTTCATTGATGATGAATCCCTTGATGCAGGCAAAGAAATCCGACCATCTCTTTCTGAAGCCATCAAGGAATCCAGGATGGCTATCATACTTTTCTCCCAAAACTATGCAACCTCAACCTTCTGTCTGGATGAACTTGTCCAGATTATTGAGTGTTTCAAAGAAGAAAGTCGGATGGTATATTCAGTGTTTTATCATGTGGATCCATCAGATGTGCGACATCAGAGAGGGTGTTATGGACAAGCTTTGGCTGATCTGCAGAACAGATTGGAGGGAAAGGATGTGAAGTTGCAAAAGTGGAGGTGGGCTTTGACTCAAGCAGCTGACTTGTCAGGCTGGCATTTTCAACCTGGGTACCCTTCTTTTTCTTATTATTATTTTCCATCCAATTTTTAGATTTTTATAGTAAGTAAAATACATTCACTTTCTTTTTATTTTATACTCATACGAAATTATACGAATATAATATATTTTCTTATAACTGTGACCCAAGTTAAAATTATGCTCCTTACAGAATAAGCATATTTAACCATTCATATTAGAAAAGAGCTTGTGTCCTGCAACTCCGAGAGCGAAAACACTTTAATTTATCAACAATATGAAATATGTGTTATATTTCTAAAATTCTTATTCGTAATTGTAAACTCATGATTTAGAGGCATGTACAAGATATTTCTCATCTTGAAACCTGTCTATTTATTTTATCCTCATTCTCATTCCATTTCGTTTTATAATTGGCCCATCAACACACACACACACACACACACATTTGGTTTGAATAAGGGATAAACTTTTATGCGCAGGATTACAAAAGAACAGGAGCATATTAAGATGATTACTCGTGAAGTCTCTGCCAAGATTAATCACACTCTTTTAGAAGTTGTGGATTATCCAGTTGGCCTTGAGTTTCGGGGGAAAGAAGTAATCTCACTTCTAGATCTTGGGTCCAACAAAAACCCACTGATGATTGGAATTTGTGGCATTGGTGGGATAGGTAAATCGACAATTGCAAGAGCCGTGTATAACTCAGTTGCTGATAATTTTGATGGTTTGTGTTTTCTTTCTAATGTTAGAGAAATTTCTTACAAGCATGGCTTGTCACATCTTCAAGAGACATTACTTCATAAATTGGTGAGGGTGAAGGAACTCAAATTGGGTGATTTCTATGAAGGAATTTCAATAATAAAGAATAGGCTCCAAAACAAGAAGATTCTTTTAATTCTTGATGATGTTGACAAAGTGGAGCAATTACGAGCATTAGCTGGAAGCTGTGAATGGTTTGGCCTAGGAAGCAGAATCATTATCACGACAAGGGATAAACAGTTGCTAGCAAGTCGGGGAATTCAAAGAATTTATGATGTCAAGGGGTTAAGTGATGATGAATCTCTTCGGTTAATTAAAAGGCATGGCTTTAAAGGGCTTACGGGGGATTTAGATAATTACATGGATGTTCTGAATCGTGCCATAAAATATTCATGTGGCCTTCCATTAGCCTTGGAAATGATTGGCTCTAACTTGTGTGATAAAAGAGTTGATGAATGGACTTCTGCATTAGATGAATATGAAAGAATACCTGATAAAGACGTTTTTAAAGTCCTTAAATTAAGCTATGATGCTTTAAGCAGAGAACAGCATAAGGAAATTTTTCTTGACTTGGCCTGTTTCTTTAATGGTGAGAAGTTGGGAGACGTCATAAATATGATGATGAGTTTTCGTGGTGTTGAACCAACACATGCCATTAATGTGTTGACAGATAAATCTCTAATAAAGATTAAAGAAGATCGTGTGATAATGCATGACTTGATTGAAGATATGGGTAAGGAAATTGTTCGGCAACAATCACGAAAAGAGCCTGGGAAACGCAACAGGTTATGGTGTTATGAAGACATTATTGATGTGTTGCAAAATAACACGGTAAGAGCACAACACGCATATGACTTTCTTTAATTCTTATATTTATATGACTTTTGTATACCTAAAATTTGGCACTTACTGTGTGCTTTTCATTTTAAAGGGCACTGATGAAGTTGAAGTCATGATTCTTGACTCACCCAAAGATAAAGAAATCCAATGGAATGGCAAGGCATTCATGAAAATGAAGAAGCTCAAAGTGCTTGTCATAAAGAATGCAAGCTTTTCTAAAGGCATCAAATATCTCCCAAATAGTCTCTGCGTGTTAGAATGGAAGGGGTACCCTTTTGAGTTTTTGCCATCTAATTTTCATCCAAAAAAACTCGTCCATCTTGATTTGTCCAATAGTTGTGTGGTGCTCCTACCTTTTAATAAGGTATGCTTATATAAGTACTTGTAAAACTAAGCGCTTTTTTCATTTTCTTTATCTAACTTCTTTTCCCATTTTGAATTTTGCAGAAATTGGAGAGTTTAAGTTGCATGAATTTTAGCAACTGTAAATCCTTGAGCCAATTACCAAACCTGTCGGGAGTTCCTAATTTAACAGAATTGTGGCTTGATGGTTGTACAAACTTAATTGAAATCCATGATTCCCTTGGATTCTTGGGTAAACTCAAAAGATTGAGTGCTATGCGATGCAAAAACTTGAGGACTTTGCCTCCTAGTATTAAGCTAATATCACTTGAAGATCTAAATCTCTTTCGTTGTTCAAGTCTTCAAAGTTTTCCTGAGATATTAGACAAGATGGAGAAGTTGAAGGCACTTGATTTGGAGAGTACGGGCATTGCAATACTGCCATCTTCAATCTGCAACCTCGTTGGGCTTGAAACCTTAAACATGGAGGCGTGCCCTAATCTTAAGCAATTACCAGCTAGTATTTGTAAGTTGCCAAAACTATTGGAACTATCAACAAATTTTTGTGAAGGGATGAAGCATTTCAGGAAATGCGAAGGTGAAAAAGAAGCAAGCTTAGACAGCGCAACCATTTCGACCAAAGAGATAGAGAAAGAATGCAACTTAGCCTTGTCTTCAAGAAGACATTTCTGTTTCTCAAATTGCAACTTAACAAATGACTCTCTTGCTCTTTGTGTCTCTCGTATTCCTGACGTTGTACAGTTAGATTTAAGGTTTAATAGTTTCACAACTCTCCCAGCATGCATAGAAGAATGTGAGAATTTAAGGTATCTTTTCTTGGATCATTGTGTGCAATTGCAAAAAATTGTGAGGATGCCACCAAAATTGGAAGCATTCAGGGCCATAGGTTGCACTTCTTTGTCTAAGTCATCCAAAAAAAGAGTATTGGATCAGGTCTCTGCCCCCTCCCTAATCTTTTCTTAATCATCTTCCTTAGGTACTTACAGTTTATTTATCATTTTATGGTATTATATGTAATTTGCAGGCATTCTACTTTGGAAATGGGAAAAGAAACTTTATCTTGCCAGGAAAAAGAATCCCTCAATGGCTTGACTATTATAGTCGAGGAAGCTCCGTGTCTTTTTGGATTCGTGATAAGGTCCCAAAATTTGCTCTTTGGTTTCTTTTTGAAAATGACCCAGTTGGTCCTTACAAATGTGTATTCTCAATGCACATCAATGATACCAAGTTACATATTTCTTCTGGGTGGCTTTCAAAATCAGTTATACTGGCCAATCATATATACATATGTGATATGGAAAGCATAATTGAGAAGGTTAGACCCCGTCTTGCAAATGGATGGAATCATGTGAGGGTTTCAATCAAGAGCAAAGCACGAAAGATAAAAATGGAAAAAGAAATTTCTATAGCAGTTCATGTATACAGGCAACAAAATGACTTGGAAAATATTCGATTCAAGGACACTAGAATACACCTTGATTGCAACTCGTGGCAAAAGAAACAACCACCACCTCAAGATTGGGGAGAGCTCGAAGATGAAATCAATGAGGATTCAAATTCAACAAAATTTGCAGAGTCAATCCAAAAAATCACGCCTTATCAAGGTATGCCCCATGTTTCTTGCATTTTGTGTTAGCGCAATACTACCTCTAGTCCTTAATATAAGAGCTAGTTGACTAATAGAGAGATTAAGGAAATTATTAAATTACTTAATTATAACATATTTACATGATCTCTCTAAAATATTTATGTATATCATTAAATTATATATCAATTTATAAGTAAGTTAAATTATTTTGGAAAAGAACAATAAATATAAAAATCTCAAAGTAATTTAGTGATTTTCTTAATCTCTCTAAATTAATTAATTATGTCTTATATTAAGGATCAGAGGTAATATATTCTTTTCAATATAAATGCTCAAGTTATTTTCCATGACTGGTGTACTCTGGCCAACTTTAGCTAAAGGCGCGGGGTATATGAAGTCTCCACAGACTTGAAAGGAGTATTCAACGAATTCACCGAACTCACTTATGAATATATCTTTTATTTGGGTCTTATATGTAATTTTTCATGAATTATTTGAAGCAAAACAAGAGGTTTATAAAATGCATTAATGTTTGCCACTAGAACAGCTACTATTTTGATACTATCAACAAGTTGGTCTAGATTTTGAACTAGTTGTCGGTTATGTTAAAACATTGACGAATCTGTGACCAACAATTTCTTGATTTTCTCGAAGTAGTTTTTTTTTTTAACTTGTAAAAATATTTTGAGCACTTTACAGCCCCCCATGCATTTTCTTTTTCCAAATTCTTGCTCCTTACGTATCCAATCCTAAATTCGTCCGTGTTAGGAAAACCATAAAAATTCAACTTTGCGTCAATTTTTTATAATAGCAGACTTTCTTGCGAAACGTGCCCTGGAGAGTGCACCAAGCGTTCGAGTGTCTGAACCCGAGGATCTTGACTTCCCTTGAGGATGTAAATCCTCAATCGTATAGTAGCCTTGCCTCTCCTTTCCATCGAATCCAAAAATCAAATGTGTGTGTGTGTGTGTGTGTGTGTGTGACCATGTGTATGTTTGGGTATCGGTCAACTTCTTCCGGCCGCCAACATTAAGTGATTATAATTAATTAATTGATGGTCGAATTCTCTCTAGTTCCTCATTACTTTTCCTCTGGTCTGTTCATTAAATTTGAACAAAAAAAAATCCCATAAGAAATAATCTGGAAATTATTAAATCTGAAATTAAAATTTTTACATTTTGATATGTTACCTGGGCTTGATTTGCAAATAACAATTTACTACTTCCGGTTTTAATTATAAGAGTTAGTTGACTAATTTGAGGAAATTAAGGAAAGTAGTTAAGTTAGTTATTTGTAATAAATAAGTGTTGTCTTTCCTAAAATATCTTTACTAATTAAGTGTGTTGGCTAAAACTATAATTGTTAAAAGGACCATCTTAGAAAAAATTGAGTAAATATAAGATATAAAATGGATTGGGGTCTTATATTTATGACCAACATAAAAGTCAAACGAGATCTTATATTAAGGACTGGAGGTAGTATTTATGTAAAAATTCTTGATTTAGGATTTAATAATTTTCAGTTTTGTTTTGTAGGATTTTCCTTTTAAACAATTTTAGATTTAGCACTTTATAAAATAATGTGTTATATTTTGTGTTTTGTAGTTTTATATTGTTCAAATCAAATTTAACTTGCTTTGAATTTATTTCATTTGGTTTCTTGCAAAAGCAGAACCCATGAGTGCTGACCTTGTGAGTGGAGCGTTTGATTGGCTGGCGCAAGGAGCAGGAACTTCTTCTATCGCCTGCATGCAAGGAGCAAGAGCCGTCTTCAGCTTGTGGGCAGATCCCCGCTCCTGTTTCAGGGGTGATCTCTACCCATTTCTTAGTGGAGGCGTGATTCGTCTCTTCGTTCCTGACATCCTCAACTCAGACGAAGAAACCCAACTGTTCCCTTCCAGACGCATCAAGGAAACCATGATGGCCATCACGGTTTTCTCCAAAATCTATGCAACCTCAACCATCTGTGTGGATGAAATTGTCCAGATTATGAAGTATTTTGAAAAAGAAAGTCGGCGGCTATCTTCAATGTTTTATTATGTGGATCCATCAGAGTTGCCACCTCAGACAGCTCGTCACGGACGAGCTCTTCCTAATTTGCGCAAAATATCGGATGAGATTTATCATCGTTGGCTTTGGTTGCGTGAAGAAGCTAAGGAGTCACGCAGGCTTCGATTCGTGCGTCGCTTTGGTACGTCTTCGTTTTTTCTTATTGTTATTTTCCATGCAGTGTTTTGGATTTTTAATGACTGAAATGCATGCACTTTGTAACATATTATATTTAAAAAAATAAAAAAAATTGTAATTCTAAAGGATAAAATAAAATAAAATTTTATTATTATTAATTTTAAAAAAAACCCTAGTTTTTTCATTGGTGGAAAAGCCGAGGGTAATTAAGAGGAAGAAGAAAAAGGGATAGGATTATTTAGATGCCTGTTTTGTCTTTTTATTTTCAAGTACTCCCTCCGTTCTTATTATAAGAGACGAATAACCGAATTACGTTGATCAAAAAAACAGTTAAAATTAGTTAAGAACAATCATGTGTAAAAAGTATAATTTCTTTTCCAAAAATAACCTCATTAATAAGGAGAGAGAACATGAGAGAGAATAATAGTAAATTATTAAAAGAAAGAGAAGTGGGAAGGAGAGAGAGTGTGAGTTAGAGACAATAAATATGGGTAAAATAGAAAATCAACACAAAAAAGTAGAGACAACTTTTAAGTGTCTCTTATATATAGGAACATGCCATAAGGATCAAATGTCTCTTATAATAAGGAACGGAGGGAGTAGTATTTTGTTGTCATTTTTTCTATAATACTTCACCACCCAAAAACAAATCCATATTATAGAGAACTTTTGCGCATTCTCAAAATTAATTTTTGGCAATTGTAAAATGTAGAGCGTAGGGTTGTTGAGGTTGCCACGACTAAGCAAATAGTTGGTTTTGATTTTAAACAACCATTCCATATGAATTTGATTTATACTCTGATGATTCAAAATTAACTGAATTTTATTCTCAAGCATCGCTGGCCATCATCGCCATGTTGTGGGATTCAGTTTCGGAGATGGTCTTTAACCGGAAGCGATAGCGGAGTAGGCATCGAGGGAGGAGAGGAGAGAAAGGGCAGGGCAGTTGGAATCAGAGAGGGTCATGAGAGAGGAGAGGAGAGAAAGGGCAGGGCAGTCGGAATCAGCGAGGGTCATGAGAGAATCAACGGAAAAAGGAGGCAGGATGGAGGCGAGGGCATGGATGCGAGAGCGAGACTTCGAAACGGATTCCCACCATGAGTGCACGACCAGTGGTACGGAAATGGACTTGGAGGATTCATTACTTCCGCCATCAGACATTGACTGTGTAGGAACAGGGCAAGAGGTTGAGTGCCAGCCGGATGAAGAAAACAAGAAATCGGTTGAAGTGGAATCGTTAGGAATTTCTGTAAAGAGGTTGTTGGAATGGGCAGTGTTAGTGCCGCCTTTCTTCTTTTCGGGAATGACTACGGTGGCCATGAAGGAGGTGATTCCCAAATCTGGACCTTTCTTTATGTCTGCATTTCGTCTAATTCCTGCTGGCGTTCGTTGCTTCCCAAGGTCGACCTTTCCCATCTGTTTTCAGGTGTGTGCCGTCTTGTGTGTTCCTCCGTATATTCAGTGATGTTATACCACTTGGTGCTTGCTTTTTCACTTTTCAGTGAACTTATAACGGGTATTAAAGACAGTAATGGTTTGCTGTAGGGCTTTCTCACCACATCCGTGCATGATGATGTAGTTGAAGGGTGTTAAGTGCGATTCTCAAGGTACCAACACTGAAGAAATCAGGTTAGAAAATTGGAATCTGAGTGGGACAATTGATGCAAAATCATCGTGTAGGGTTAAGAAGCTGTGGGTTTTGAGCTTAGCTGAGGTTGAAGGAGACATGAAAAAGCTGAAGAAATTAAAAGTCCCTTCAGGGACATCGATAAAATTGGAACAATCCATAGAGGACTAGCATGGCCCCTGCGCAAGGATGACACGCACAAATCGAGAAAACGCTGAAGAAAAAAGAGAGATTTGGTTTGAACGAAGGAGGAGTCCCGGGAAAAGATATTATTCTGCCATATCTGCCTTTACTTCAGTATTTCTAATCAAAATGTTCTTTCTAATGGTCAGCACAGTGAAATTTCTTTTATTTTCCGTGTTAGCCATATCGACTTGTCTAATAGGTATACTTTTCGGTATCTATATTTGTGCGATGAATCAGATTATACGCCGATCATCCAGAACAGAGCCGCAGAAATCTTGTTTGGGAACATCAAGGCTGAAAAAGTCTCTTCAAGTTATAGATGGCAAATGCTTAAATTAAATGTACCTGATGAGTGATGAGGGACGGAATTTAAGGAGTGAAGAACACTAACATGAAGCAAATAAATAAATAAATACGTTGGCAAAGAAAAAAAAAGCAAATAAATAAATACAAGGGGTGAGTTATGGGACAGGGACTTATGTACAAAGCATTGAAAATTAGGGATACATATGGAATTGAGATTTAAAAAAATCTATTAAAAGAGTGTTTAACATGATTAATTACTTATTACATGAAACTGGACAAACTCATATACGTGAGATTGGAGAATACCACCAAGAAATGTAGTATTTCCCAATCACATCTCTATGGATTTGTCTAATCCTATGTAACAAGTAATTACTCAAACTAAATATTTTTCTAATAATTTTTTTTTTCAATTACAATCATAATCCTTATCTTTCATTTTTAATGCTTCGTATCAAACCGGACCAAGGGTAAGAGTCATATCCCACCCGATCTCTTTCCAACTTGGTCTCCTTCTAGTCCCGGCCTTAGGACTATCTCGTCCAAGTCCAACTCAAGACGGGTTCCTCTGGTCCTAAAGTGATTGGGACCAAGATAGGCCAGCTGGGATGGATAATTTAATTGATTTTGGCATTCGTAGAGGTGTTTGGTTTTGGATTCATAACTGATTTTAACGTGTACAAGGTAATCTGAATATTTTCTTCAAGAAAACCTTGGTTTTCACACTAGAAATTACAGAGCGCTTCTATCTATTAACATCTATTGTTTTAAGATGCATTCTTAAAATTATGGACATGCAAATTGCCAGGTGACAAGCCAAGGATCATTCCGTAAGATGATGATTGTATTTTGAAACCCAGAACTTAGCAGTACCTATCCTGTTTTGATTTCTCCTAAATCAGATTCTCATGGTTCCATAAGACGTCACAATGCAATGAAAATATTAAACTACACAACGATAGGTTTCAAAGGACTCAAGGAGCCCAACAGTGTGGCTGTGGCTGATCTTGACCACTTGTCCTTTCTCCAGCCCATAGTAACGTGCCATCCTATCAGTTTCTAGCAAGCATGAGAGCTGATATATACAATCAAAATTCTAAGTTAAATGAGGTCATAAAATTACTCCACTTGTATAGGGATGTCAGAGAAAAATAATCTGACTAATGTACTAAAATAAAACATGAAATCAATAGAGTCACATTGTTCACATGTTGTGAGCGGTGTCTCATTCTTTAGATTCCGTGCAATTCACAGGTCTCACTTTGTTCTCAAAGAAGAAGAAGAACTATATTCCAGGTAATGCAGAACTACATTGCTTTTATCATCAGCCAAACAATTATGTATAATATTTAAGAAGAATTGCAGAACTGTATTGCCTTTATTCATCGGCCAAACGATGATTTGTGTTTTCACTAAACTAGCTGTTAGTTTACTCATCCTTGTATTACTTTTTCCTCTGCAGCAAGCCAATTTATTGAATTATCATACAGAGGACTCCTTTCTATGAGCCAATATTACTGAAGTTTATGTAAGTTCAATGTTTAATTAAATATTTATTCCCTTAAAAATTTCAACCTTACTGCCACTTTGCGTTTATACATTTCGCAGATTAATATAGTAATGGAACTTACGATATAGCAAGCAAATAGCAAGGCGCATCGTGCTTATTGCTTTGAGAAATGAAAATTCCTTTGAGAAAATCAGACGAGCATTGAAGTGCAACCAAGTGGAGAATTCTCCAAGAACACCAAAATGCTTATTGCAATGATAACTCATTGCTGGAAGAAATGAATGGGGCAGAATTTTTTATCGGATCTGTACATTGGATCTCAGAAAGTAGTTTATTAATTGTCCTCAAAAGAAATATAAATTTATTGTAGCCAGTAGCCACACTTCTCAAAGTCAAGTTAATCTTCACGCCAGAAATTTTCACACTTTTGCAACGCTAGAAAGCAAAGCATCCAACTCAAAACGTTCATTACTGAAATGCACAAAATGGATAAAGAGTCTTGTTGCCTCTCTCACCTTGAAACCAACATTGAGATTCACCATTAAATTAGAATTCACAGAAACCTTGACAACATTTGAATATTACAACACCCTTAAAAACAACTAGTTAAGATAATTTGGAATTTGTGACTTACTTTAAAAATCTCAACCCTAAATGGCCATTTTTGCAGTTCTTTTCCTGGATAGGTGGTCATTTTGCTTTGCAAAATCAGTATGAGCCGACTCAATCTTTCTTGATCCATAATCTCACCATACAGTAGACGAATAGTTTCAACTTTGACGTCAGTAGTTCCTAGAAAGATAACGAGCACATGCACAAAAGGTATTAAGCCAAAGTACATCGATAACAAAGAGAATCTTAAAGGCATGTCAATTTTATGCAATTAGATATTTAGATAAAGTTTTTACGGGAAAAAAAATTATCAAAGAAGTTCATCTGCAAAGGAATTTTATAATGCCGGAAAAATATAGAGTACAAATAATGAGGCATGACAAAGTTTTCTTTAGGGAAAATTGGTAAAAAAAAAATCCTCGTTTGAAAATTTAATTGGCTAAAAAGACCTGAATTTGAGCATATGCAAGTATGATCTGTGAGTGTAATATACCTTCTGTTGTGTGCAACATATCTCCCGTTGTGTGCAAATGATTTCTGTATTGATAACTGTCGCACATCATTGAGACACGTTGCACACAGTAAAAGATATATTGCACTCACGGATTGTAGTTGCACTTACTCAAAATCAGTTCCTTTTAACTCATTAAATTTTCAACTACAGATTTTTTTCCAATTTTCCCTTTTCTTTATCCCTCAAAACAAGTACAATCATCTAATAAGTATCTCTTTTTAAAATGTGCGATTCACCATATATGTGTATAATACATATTGAAAATATTTCAGGAAAACAGCTCAAATGCAGGATAGTTAAAGGTTAAATATATGGCAGCATAACCTGTAAGGGACATTTCTCTCTTTGGATATATATTAGGCGACCAAATTACCGTTCTCGCTACTTTTTCAGTAATGGATCCAGAGGATAACTTTTTTAAAAAAAAAAAATATTGGAGGGGGTGGCAAAATTAGTTTTATCATTTTTTTCCAGAAGAACAGAACAAAATTTACAAATAAATCTGTAACATGGGGGGGGGGGGTAGGCACCCCTGCATGCTCCCCTAGATTGGTCACTTTACAATTTTCAGTCCTAATCTTTGGATTTCATATTTTTCCAGCGCAGTTTGAATTTCCAGCACAAATTTACTTAAATCCCAACTTTCACAGGAATGTCGAGGCTGATTCTAACATCACTAAATACAAAAGAAAGAAATATATTTAAGGTCACAAAAAAAAAAAAGAACTCTGCAAATTGTGGGCAACTCGTTTAAATATGGCGAAATTTTAGATTTCCTCGAAGTTGCGAAAGGTTTTGCTATAATCACTATGTTAAAAACTCAGGATCACAAAAAGAATCAATTTTATGAATGTAAACTTCCAGCAGGATGGCGGCGGAGAAAACGGATAAATACCCCTGATTCACTACTTTACTTAATCAAGAAAATCAATTGCATAACATAAAATGAGAGCCAACCAGAACGGTTAAAATATCAACAAGTCCGTGTTCATTGCTGGTTCAAGAGGGAGGACACAGTAATCGGCAGAATTTAATAGACACAAGAAGACACGAAGGTCCCTTTTTTATGCGATTTTAGTAATATGACTCAAATTCCACGATAAATTAGCAACGCTTTCTTATAATCTATGAACAAATCCGATGTTATTCCTTCCACTTCTTCCATGAAGACGACATCATGCGTTCCCCTGCTTCAGAAAATACTTACAGCG